CTTTGATAGTGTTGTGACTGTACACCTTGTATCGATAAAATAATTTTCATATATTTTACATAAATATTAGCCGTCCCGGAAAACGTTTTTTTGTCATATAAATTTATGTACTAATATCGATATTAAAAGTAGGGGTTGGTGGTAGAAGGTGATAATTTAGGGTTGTATGTTTTTTAATCCCAAATCATAATAAAATAAACAAAAATGTACAAAAAAAATGTTAGAGGAGGACAACCCTTATCACTTATGGGTATGAATTATACAGTAGCCGATTCTTAGACGTACTGAATATAAATACATACATACATTAAAACATATAAAATTTCATAAAAATCAGTCAAGCCGTTTTGGAGGAGTATGGTCACTAACATTATGTCACGAGACTTTTATATACGAGTATAAGATACTATTAACATACAAGTTTAAATTTGCCGTTAAAAACTTTAAAAATACAGTTAACTATCATTTTATATTAGTTAAAATACTTGACTGGTGAGTTACTACGTTTGTTGTAGAGATTTCAATATTTTTTAATAGAAATAAAAATAATCTTTATTCAAATAAACTTAATATAAACACTTTTGAATAGTCAAGTTTTTTGATTCTACCGCTTATTCGGAATGCAGATTCATCATAAGAAGAATAAGAAAGAAACTTGTGTGTTGCTCTTTAAATAAATATTGATTTGCTTATATTTAATTAACAACAAGGATTAGGCATGCGACAATCAACATAGAAACCGCTACGCACTTAATCTCTGTTCAATCAGATAACATTGTCAGCGCTATGAATTTAATACAATACTCAAATCATTCCTGTGCACAAGTTTCATTACATTATTTATATTTATTTTATCTAATTACATGTATATTTCATTAGTTAATGGATTATATATTATTTTGTTTAATTCCACTATCATTAGCATGTGTAAGACCACAAATATTCAGTGCGAAAACTTGACTATTGCTACTGGAAGCGTTATGACCTTCTCTATTGGTGATCAAATTCCGACCGTTATTGAGTCTACACCAATGTATGACACGTGTTTTATCTTTGAATGAACCATCATCAGGCCTTGAATAGAGTTCTGATACGGCTTAAAAGTCTTTGTTCGACAGTAAACTACGACTCCAGTTTGGTCTTCGAATTTCCTTTATCTTCCAATATGAGAGTAGATCAAATCTTATTAATATTATATACGCGAAAGTTTGTGAGTACAGCCATCCGTACAATATCCATATGTTAATCAGTCTTTTACGCAAAAACTACTGAACGGGTTTTGATGAGACTTTACAGTATCATCATCATCTCAGCCCGGAAAACACCTCCCCCAAAGATCTCCAAGACGATCGGTCCTGCGCTGCTCGCATCGAATGCCTTCCAGCGTTCTTGACCAGATCAACAGTCGACCTTGCTGGAGGCTTTCGCCGCGTTTTTCAGTCCGCTGTCGCCACTCGATGACTTTTCTACCCCAACGACCATCTGTCCTACGAGCTATGTTCCATGCTCATTGCCTCTTCAGTTTTGCAATTCTTCGGCTATGTCAGTCACTCTGGTAATTCTACGGATCTCCTCATTTCTGATTCGATCACGCAGAGAAACTCCGAGCATTACCCTCTCCATTGCCGTCTAAGTGACTTTAAGCTTATTCATGAAGCCCATAGTTAGAGACTTTACAGTAATCTAGCTTATATATCAGAATAACATATAAACTATAAATTTCACACAGATTCACCTCGGGCACAGCTAGTAATTAATAATTGTGTTTATCGATATCGATACAATAACATTAATTGCCCATCATTAACACAGAGGTCTTAGAATTAAATTACCTCTGCATCCCTAACTCCAAACAATAATCTTTAACATTCACCCCCTTTCCAAATCCCTTGAACTAAGCCTTTTATGTTGACGTGTCGCCACGTCTTGCCGACTAGAGATAACTCGATAATGAGTTCCTTTATCTACGACACAACACTATGTGATGAATATTTCGAAAAACTTTATATGATAATATAGTGACTATCAAATAATTTATATTATAAAATTGTATACTATTAACTATGTAAATAGCTAGAGACATATATTTTATTCAGAACTACTTATACGCCCCAGCTTTGTACGTTTGTACATGTATTATACATATAAACCTTCCTCTTGAATCACTCTATATATAGCTGGAAACTGCATTCAAATTCATTGCGTGCGATAGATTTTTTCTACTAAAACATGAATAATTTAATAATATATATTATAAACGCGAAAGTTTTTGTGTATGTATGTTTTTTACTCTTTCACGCAAAAACTACTGAACGGATTTTGATGAAACTTTACAGTAATATAGCTTATGCATCAGAATATCATATAGGCTATATTTTTTATTGAAATTTACGGCGGATCAAACCGCGGGCGCAGCTAGACATTCATAAACTCCTCAATTTTATGATAAGTTGTTTTTACAAAGAAAATGTTATCATATTCTCTAACTAATAACATAATTGGATGTCAAATAACATAACAACATATTGTAATTTAAATAATGTAAATTAATTATTGTAATGGGTGAAAATTGTGATCGTTACAGTCTATTCTGTAAATGATATAATGGAGTAACTTGAAACAGTCATGCTCGCTAAAAAGTTCAAACTTGTGGCGGCGTGGTGGGCCGGGTAGATGTGCTCCCTCTAATATGGTGAGTGCAATGATGGCTGGCTCATCCGTCATACTCGTGACCGGTGCTGCTTGTGAGAACAGGTCTGTTGGGGTTACGAACACTGATTAGACTATTTGCTTTTGCATAACATACGATGGTCACTCTATTCTCCCAAATTTGATCTTAAAATTGAATCATATAAAACATTTATTTGAAAAGAATACAAGCTGAGTTTCTTATCAGTTCTTATCGACGGTAGCTTTGACATATCATAAGTCTGTAATAGACCTACATGAATAAAGCTATTTTGAATTAGAATTTTGTATTTTGAGAAGATATTTTGAATGTTAAATATCATAATGACTGAGGGATAATAACTCCTCAATCTTTGGGTCACTCCACTTTGTAAATATGTCCCCACACAACATGTCCCATCCACAATTGAAGGTGAATCGGTTAATTGAGCGAACAGTTTCAAAAGGGTCGCAACGATCTTAATTATTAGCAATGTGCTTAAGGGTTGAATTTACGATGTGTTAATATAACCCTATGTACGTCGCTGGCAATTATGGTAACCTTAAATTAAATTTACCTGAAGCTATTGGGTCATTTGGACCCGTTGTGTATCAATTTACTGTTGTTATAGTTTGGTTAATTATTAACTGTAATTATTAAAGCAATAAGGCTGTTATTTCAATATATTTGTCATCTAAATAAATAATAATGTACCTGAACAATTCGCACAGAGCTAATCCCAAGCTAAGCAGAGCTTGTGTTATGGATACTAGACGTATGAATACTTTTTTTTGTAATAAAATACATAATACATAATATCTTTTCTCATTTTTTATTTTGATTAGTAGTAGAACAAATTTTATTTATCGCGTATACTTTAATTAATATAATAATAATAATATAATCTTAGGATAATTCACACAGCGCCATATAGACCCAAGTTTAGCTAGCTAAAGCTTGTGTTACGGGTACTAGATAACTGATACATATACATCGACATATATTTTTAACACATACATAATATACATAGAAAACACCCAGACCGATACAAACAATCATACTCATGAATACAAATGTTTGTGCCGTTCGAGGAATCGAACCCGCGACCATCGGAATTAAGGCGGTGTGCTAAACCGCTAGACCACCGAGGTCGTCATACATTATACATTTTACATTGATACATTTTTTATTTTGTAATATTTACAATTATAGAAAACATCCAGAGCAATATTAATAGTTATAATCATGAATACATTGTACCGTGCAGGAATGGAACCCGCGACTATTGGAAATAAACAGCTGGACCATCGACGCTAAATATATGTACAAATGAGTAATAATAAATATATTTTTCATCGTAGAAGTGTTTTTAATTAAAACTTAGTAGAATTTATATGTATTATAAATAATAATATAATTTCTGACTATTAATTTTGATTAGTAGTAAAATAAATTTTGTTAAATTTAAATTTAAAATTAACATGTATACTTTAATTGTATTTATTATATACTTTATTTATTGTACACCCATTTCTAACATATTTGTAAAATGGTTATAAAATCAACGAATATGAATCTACACACACGACAGCCTCGGTGATCTAGTGGTTTAGCACACCGCTACAAACTAAAAACAAATAGTACAAACATTTGTATTCATGAATAGGATTGTTTGTATCGGTCTGGGTGTTTTCTATGTATAATATGTATTTATTTACAAAAATGTATCCATGTATTTATATCAGTTGTCTAGTACCCATAACACAAGCTCTGCTTAACTTGGGACTAGATAGCGCTGTGTCAATTGTCCAGGGTTATTTACTTTAATCTTATCTGAAAGATTTTTAAAATGAAATACATTCAAATATTATTTATTTATTGTTTAAACTTACTTACACTATAGTATTTAATATACATTATTTATATTATTAGCCGGGTCTTAACGCGAATAATTTTATGGTAAATAAAGGTATATCTTTCTTTCGTTGAACAATCTAGTGACGGTAGAAGCAAAAACTGCTGTCACCTATCTACATTGACATCGCTGCTACTCCAGTCAGCTCGTGACCACGGCTAGTGCAACCAAGTCAAAGTGTCGCGAGAGGTAAACACCTTTATTTACCATAAAATCATTATTACTTTAATAATTAATAATAATAATTTTGAACCTGAACATGAAATATATATTATAAACGAGTTATATCTGAAGCTAATAATGACTAATATATAAATAAATATAAGTAACAATTATGTACGACCGTGAAATAAGTTTAAATCATTATTTACCTTTCAATTGGGTGCATACCAATGCATTGCACTACAGTGAGCAACTCTACTTAGATACAACGGACTTATGCGTGTAACAAATCAATCGTAATGTTAGGAAGTATACAATTTCCATGAAACTGAGGACACTGCAACCAAGGAATAATCCTGCCATGCCACCCACAGCCACTAAAATTAAAAAAAAAACATTTAAAAAACATTTTCATTATTTCGAACCGACTATATAAAGAATAAGGTTATATTCTAGTAGTCTAGCGGTCTAGCACACTGTCTTACTTCCGATGGTCGCGGGTTCGATTCCACGCATTTTACAAACATTTGAAATCATGAGTGTGATTCTTTGTATTGGTCCGGGGGTTTCATATGTATATTTTTTATGGATGAAATAGATATATAAATAATCTTTATTCAAATAAACTTAATATAAGCACTTTTGAATAGTCAAGATTTTTTATTCTACCGCTTATTCGGAAGGCAGATTTATCACAAGAATAATAAGCTAGAAAATTGTGTGTTGCTCTTTTAAATAAATATTGATTAATTATATTTAATTAACAACAAGGATTAGTCATGCGACAATCATCAACATAGAAACCGCTACGCACTTAATCTCTGTTCAATCAGATAACATTGTCAGCGCTATAAATTTTAAGTTAGTATTTTCTACAAAAACATTATTATCATTTATAAATTCTTCATTTTTATAATAAGCTTTCTTACAAAGAAAATATTTTATGACACATTTGAATTTTTTTCTACCAAATTGACTACAGACTCTGGGAGTTTGTTGTAAAACCTTATGCAGAATTAAACTATTTTACATTACGTAAGCTTTTATTAGTGTAACCACCTACTTTTTCTAAACAGTCAGTGTTTTTCAAACTGTCAATGATAATGGAATGATGCACACGCCTGCGCGGTCCATTATAGGAGCCACTTTGGAATTACCGCGGATGTATTCACTTCGCACCCTATCTAGTCTCGTGACTCCACCAGACCACCGCAGCATTTTCATCTCGGTAGTATGAAGGAATTGTACAAGTGCCCTTTTATTGGCCAACGTTTCCATAAAATAGTTCGCTTAGTTCATAATCTCCACTTCTGCCAAGCTACATTAACTCTGTGAGTCACATCTGGCTCCACTTTTATCTAATCATCAGTAAGATGGAAAAATCTTAAGTAATACCTAACACATCTGTGAAGCCGAAGATGATGTCGCGTCTGTACCTCATCCTGGGATAAGTAACGATGCCCCACTGCAGATTGGTGCCGAGGAACCATTCTTGTAGTACCTGACATTAAAAAAAACATATATTCATTCATTGAGGGCTAGTGGCTTTTCTAGTCTACTTAGACTCTCTCGTAGATCTTGATATTTCCATACACAGTTGTCTGTGTATTTGTTAATTTTATCTATTTCTGTTAATTTAATAAATAATTAATTTTCTTTTATTAACACTTAATGGTATTCCGCACTATATATTATAAATTACAAAATCAAATCAAATTAAAACTTAATAATTTAGACCGAATAAAATCCAGAATGTATACTTAAAAAACAATACATTCAAATTAAATTATTGTCGAAAATAAAACTAAATGAAACACACAATAAAAATATTGTATCAATTTATACGCTTATTCTATATGAATGGAAACACCGATAACAAGCCAACGCGGTAGGCCCTTTACCCTGTTAGAGTCAATATAACTAAACAATAGTATAGGTTAATGGTAAAAGTGTGAAAATTTAAAGTTTGCATGTATTTTTAATGCCACATAATAATATAACAAAATGTAAAAATAAAAATATTTCCAAAAAATTAAATAAAAAAAATTTGGTGGGCTATACTTACGGGTATAAAAATTTGATAATAACCTGTTATCAGACCTACCGATTTTGATGACATTTTATATATTAGTACATATAAAATGTAATCAAAATCGATTAAGCCGTTAGGGAGAAGTATAACAACTAACACTGATACCTAAATTTTATATATTATTATTACATATATATAAATAACTCACATTGGACTGTATTACATAGTTAACATCATCGCATATAGGAAAACAACCGCAGTTGATTTTCTTTCCTGCTTTATCTTGCAATTTGTACAACTCGTCTGAAATGATAAGACAGTTTAACATTAATAAGAAATAAGCGGGAAGTTAGGTCATGGCTTAACCACTGATATACATATATGACGATATATATGTATATATATGACGGTAAATTTACATATCATAAGAGTCTGTAATAGACCTACATGAATTGCGAATGTATATATGTATATACATATATTAAAGTCATTTATATGGGCACATTTATTGTAGGGATATCTAATTATTATAAAATAAAATAATCTTTTTTTTTTAAGAATATTTAAGGATGGCCAGAAAATACACTTTTTTTATTTATTAATTAGACATAATAAATTATTTCCTCTTTAACATGTAAGTTTAGAAAAATATAAATTAGATACAATATAATGTCATATTAAGATTTTTTTATTCGGACTAGTCTAATGCTGTTGGCCGCAGCTGGCCTTTACAGCTTCACCGGACGATAGAGGGCGAGTGCAGATGGCACTCCAAATCCGCGGAAGGAGTTATGGAGCGGCTGAAGGCCAACTCCCGGCTGACGGATACGACTTTAGTCTGTGAACATCGCTAGGGGTTCGAACCAGGGATGTTAGGGAGCTCCGTAACCGTATACCGAAACTATCGGATATCCGATATAAAAGAATATTCGTAACCGTAACCGAATCCGAAATAAAAGTTCCGGATAATATCGAATAGGAGCGGAGCCTAATTGAGACAAGTTATGTAACCATTTTATTAGCTATTTGTATTTTACCATTAAAATTCCTTAAAAAATTAATATCCGTAACCGAAATTATCCGAAACTAACGGATAATCCGAAATAATTTCACATCCGCATCCGTATCCGTATCCGAAATTTCATATCCATAACATCCCTGGTTCGAACCTCGGCTCAGGCCGTCGTAATATTGATCCCCGTTTGAATTGGACGGGGAATCGATCAGAGGAGAATTAAGTTTATTATTACCTTTGTATTCCGCTAAACAATGAAGACCTTTGACATCGCATGTTTTCTCGTCGCCTGCCGAATATATAATAGCAATAATGTCGTTATGTAAATTGAACAGTAAACATTTCAATTAGGAGTTTAAGTAACCGGAGATAGTCTTCGTAGAAAATCTTATGCAAAATTCACCTAGCATTTATGTTAACTATTTCAATCTACCAACCTTCGTAAGACCATGTTTCAGCTATATATGGTAGTCACATTACAGAGTACGGAACTATAAATACCGAACCTTATAAACCTCTGAAATGGCTACGCATACGCAAGGTTTATATATATAGTACATGCACACCCGTGCGAAGCCGGGGCGAGTAGTTAGTTTATAATAATTTGAGTTCCTATGAAAATAACTGGTGGATGGCGCCATACAAAAAAAAAACAAAAGTCTGTATCTATTAATTTTTGTTATTTATTCCTTATAAGCTGTACCCGCGACTTCGCCCGCGTGGAATTCAACTTTATTTTTCAAAAATAAAAGTTGCCTAAGTGACTCATTATTACATCAGCTACCTGCCAATAAAATCCCGTCAAAATCGGTTCAGTCATTTCAGAGATTATCCGGAACAAACAGACAGACAGACAAAAATTGTAAAAAAAAATTATTTTGTGTACGTGTCGTATTTATATTCATATGCATATAGTAAAAAACGGTTATTTCAATATTACAAACAGACACTCCAATTTTATTTATATGTATAAATGTTACTTAATAATATTCTTAAATAAGATTCTGTTTGGTATAACATAAAAGAAAAAACTACCCATACAACATATTAGCTTTATCTTCATTAATTTTCTAATTTAGGATAAGGTTTTTAGTTTTTAGTTTAATAAGTACCGACGACTACAAAATATATAACAACAACCTTTACCTATAAACAAGGTAAACATTATTTCATTGAAAATTTTTTTCGCACTACTGGCAATTTTCTTCTTTCCCTATATAATGTTATGTTATCTGTGATTATACTGTCAAAAATGTTATAGGTGACTGTTATTGTCCCTGTCCCTGACGAGTCTAAGTAGCGAACTTTGAAAAAGATCGAAACGATCTATGTAGGTCGCAGTGCTACAGGTGCTACAAACATCTGACAATAGCCCAAACAATCCAATAAAAAAAAAGGTAACTATTTGACAACTGACATCTGCTTCCAATACGTTTTAAGAGTTAACTGTAGGTAATCGAGCGTTCAGAATGTATAAACGTGTTTAGCGAAATTTGTAGTGGTGAAATGCAAAAGGAAGGTTTGACGTTTAAACGTTTCAATTGCGTTCAGTTCGAACTAAACGCGATCAGTTTGTTTGGTGAAATCCGACCTTAGAGAGGCAAGAAACTTACCGATTCTTCTATAAAAGTGTGGTATACACTTGCAGTATTTGAGACAGAGTCGTATCCGGCACTCCATTCGGCACATTGTGTATGTGTAAACAGAATTATGTTGTAATATATTCTCATGAAGGAACCGGCAACGTCTTTGAGCAACACTCAGTCTAAAAATACAGGTTGATGATTAAACTTCCTGCTGAGGTTTTGTCACGAGACTACAGCATGGGGTTTTTCAAGAAGGGTATATTAAGGTTTCTTAAGGGTCGGCAACGAGCACGTGATACCCCTGGTGTTTCAGGCGTCCATAGGCTACGGTAACCATTTACCATCAGATGGGCCGTATGCTTGATTGCCACCATAGTAGTATAAAAAAAAAGCTATCACGGTACAGGGTTATCACGATGGCGTCGGTGGTCTAGGGGTTCGTATCGCTTTACTTCAGATAGTCGCGGCTTCGATTCCCTCACGGTACAAAAAATTGTATTCATGAGTGTGATTGGTTGTTTTATCGGTTTGGGTTTTTTCTAAGTATATTAAATATATGTTTATAAAAAATATATCTATGTATTTATATCAGTTGTCTACTACCCACAACACTAGCTCTGCCTAGCGTGGGACTAGATAACCCTGTTTGACTAGATGACCAGTTAACCTAACATATTATTAATTATATAGAAAACATATTTTTGTTCTAAATAATACTAGTTTAAAAGTGAGAATTAAAAATAGATACTTAGCAGCCTCCGATGACGTGTATACAGTCAACGCTGTAACATAGAGTTTCATGTAAAAGTCTTCAGCCGAGTGTTGATGTCTTGTCGATATATCTGGAACCTCCAGAGGTCCGTGGATGTAGACCTTAACACATTAGAATATATGTATAAGTAGCAATTAACCTTAAGATAAAAATATCTATACATATATAAAATTGGAGTATCTGTAATATTGAAATAACCGTTTTTACTACATGCATATGAATATAAATCTCTGAAATGGTCGGGCCGATTTTGACGGGACTTTTTTAGCAGGTAGCTGATATAATAAGGTGTAACTTAGGCTATATTTATTTCTATTTAAAAAAAAACATTAACGCGGACAAAGTCGCGGGAACAGCTAGTCGTAAATAAAGAACAAATATTTTATTCTTTACTTATTATATTTTGAAATAGAAATAGAAATAGAAATAATCTTTATTCAAATAAACTCATTACAAGCACTTTTGAATAGTCATATTTTGATTCTACCGCTCATTCGGAATGCAGATTCATCACAAGAAGAATGAGCAAGAAACTTGTGTGTTGCTCTTTTTAATAGATGTTTTTTTTATATAAATAATTACAGTATAACAAGTAAGAGGCATGCGATAATCAACATAGAAGTCGCTACGCACTCATTATTAATGTAATCAGATAATATTGTCAGTGCTATAGATTTAAAGTTTTTCTATAAAAACATTATTATCGTTAACGAATTCTTCAATTTTATAGTAAGCTTTTTTGCAAAGGAACTGTTTTATTCGACATTTAAATCTTTTTTCTGGCAGATTTATAACAGACTCTATTGTAAAACCTTACGCAATTGCCATAAAACGAATTACTAACTTTATAAACGACATTTAGGTAAAATCAATTTGTTATTGTTACGTAAGCTTTTATTAGTGCAATCACTAACTCTTTTGAAACTGTCTATATTCCTTCTGGCATAGATGATATTTTCATAAATGTATTGAGAAGTTTTGATTTATAAATTCTACTTTTTTTTAATACATGCAAAAGCAACACAAATTCGTATTTTGATTTCTATGTCTATATAATTTATATGACACTATGTTGGAGGACAGGACTTACATACATATAGTATATTATATAAACACTATACATATATTCACCTATTAGATGCCCCCCAGTTCGATACTATGTATACCCTACGAACTTACGAACTTACGAATACCCTACGTACACAGGTTACACACTATTTTTTTTATACTACTTTGGTGGCAAACAAGCATACGGCCCATCTGATGATAAACGGTTACCGTAGCCTATAGACGCCTGAGATACCAGGGGTGTCACGTGCGCGTTGCCGACCCTTAAGAAACCTTAATATAATCTTTAAAAACCCCATGCTGTAGTCTCGTGAGAAAACCTCGGCAGGTAGTTCATTCCACAATCTGAGTGTACGCGGGAGGAAGTTCCTCTAAAACCGCACTATCCGAGACCACTTAGGTTCTAGCGTGTGGGGATGAATTCCCTATCGATGGCGAGGGATGTGATGATAAAAAGTAGCCATAGGCATTATGTCTAACAATTCCCCAGAACACAGTCCGTCGTATATTCGGTAGAGCACATAATGCGAAGCGAAGTCTCGCCTCAAGCCAAGTGGTTCGATACCGCCAGAGAGATCATTTAGTTTACAAGTTATAAATTACAGATATACAAGTATTTTTAAAAGGATGAATTATTTTAAACTTACATCGTAAGAGGTAGACAAGTTTATGACTTGAGCGAACACTTCGCCATCCAACGGATGGATATAAAAGGTACTGTTATGTACTATCACTCGGTCCCATCTATTGGCTGCTCTGTAACTAATTATAGAGTATATAATAATAATAATAATAATCTCAGGACAATTCACACAGCGCCATCTAGACCCAAGTTAAGCTAGCTAAAGCTTGTGTTATGGGTACTAGATAACTGACACAAATACATAGATTTTTTTTTTTGTAAATACATACATATTATATATAGAAAACACCCAGACCGATACAATCATACTCATGAATACAAATGTTTGTGCCGTGCGAGGAATCGAACCCGCGACCATCGGTCGTAAAGCGGTGTGCTAGACCACTAGACCACCGAGGTCGTCATATAAATAATTGAATATTCAATTTAATTATTATATTATTAAAACTAACTACCCACCACGACTTTGCACGGGTGTACATGTATTATACATATAAACCTTCCTCTTGAATCAGTCTATTAAAAAAAACTTCAAAATCCGTTGCGTAGTTTTTAATATTTAAGGATAAATAGGGACGGACAGACAGCAACAGCGACTTTGTGTTATACTATGTAATAGAATAGAATAGAAAATCATTTATTTAAATAAACTTACATTAAAGCACTTTTGAATAGTCAGTGATGACTATTCAAAAGTTACGTATCATTATCAATAAAAAAATGTGATTTTTTTATTGATAATGATACGTAAAGAAACGTAAAATAAATTAAAAAACTTTTTACAAAAATTTTGCGGACGGACGAGTATGAAATTTCGCACACTTACAGTTTATATAGAGAAGGAAAAATTAGATTTTTTTTTATATTATGCATAATTAAATAAAAAAAAACTCGTGACACACACTGTCATGTAATGAACACACAGATGCATCTACTGTGTCTATAGATACTCCGAGAAACTACAGCAGTCATCAGGCGAACCGTATGCATCATTATGATTATCGTTTTTTAAATAGGAGAAAATTGAGGGAAGGGGATTGTACATGTCAGGTTGACCTCCACGTAGTTTCCCTGGGAACCATGTGTGTACCATGATGTGCTAACTGACCTAACCTCATGTTCATCTTACCACCCTTCACTGGTACCCCGCCAGCATAAACCATTAGCGCAGGCGTGTGCACCATTCCAATATCTTAATAATATAATAAACGCAAAAGTTTGTGAATATGGATGTTTGTTACTCTTTCACGCAAAAACGACTGAATGGATTTTGATGAAACTTTACAGTGATATGGCCTATGCATCAGAATAGGTCCGACCGTGGACCAACAATCTTGTCAAGATTGCTGTAAGGCATTGGATGCGAGCAGCGCAGGACCGATCGTCATGGAGATCTTTGGGGAGGCCTATGTCCTGCTGTGGACGTCTTCCGGGCTGCGATGATGATGATGATGATGATTATGATGATGATGATGGTGATGATGATGATGATGGTGATGTTGGTGATGATGATGATGATGATGATGATGATTAGAATAACATATCGGCTATATTTTTTATTGAAATTTAACGAGTCTGAAACCGCGGGCACTGGCATCCAAAAAAAATAATATAAAACTTACTCAGGTGAATTGTAAATAGCAACTTTCGAATTGACAGCATAGCACAGTCCCATCTCGGTTATTGTTGGTATGATATTGAGGCTTATCCCTGTAGCTCCAATGGTGAGGGTTGGCTTGAAGTTTGCTGACAAATTGAGTACCAGCTCCACATACTTATCACCCGGTATCCCCTCAAATAAAGGTATAGTGTCGAAGTTCTTGTAGGTAGCGTTGGATATGCCAATTATGAATTTGGTTAGAGTTTCTTTGTCAGGTTCTGGTGAACTTCTGTAATATAAAATCCAGGTTTTAAATTTGACGCAGTCATTATTTATACGTATAATTAGTCATACATCACGGGATCTTACCACGTTCTATATTTACTTGCTGAGTTCCCGATTAGTTTACCTTTGCAGTAGCAGTTTACCCATGATCATGGTGGTTGAAACACCGCCGAAATATTAGGAACTCATTAAATAAATATAAAACGTGGTAAGATCTCGTGATTTTTACTAATTATATCATATTATAGATTATCTCCATAATATACGAATCAATAAAATCAAATCAAATTATCGACCCATTGGCTTTATGGAATTGTTCGGATTAATACCAGCTACTGAGTTTCACCACCGTACCACCCGTCAGAAAAGGCAGTCCTTCACAGTGCGGTTTTCTAGAAACTTTTTGTCACGCACAACCACATATAGGAATCACCTTCCAGCAATGGTATTTCCGAACTGATACGATATTGAAATCTTCAAGAAAAGAGTTTATTTCTTTTTAAATGGCCGACAACGTACTTGCAATTGCCCTGGTGTTGCGGGTGCTCATGGGCGGCGGTAATGACTTATCATAAAAAAAATCGTGTAGATCTATTACAGATTCTTATGATACGTCAAATCTACCGTCAGTTCGGAGTGCTTTCAAGACAGACAAGAAGAAAGCACAGCTCTTATATTCAAATGAGCTTGTTCAGTTATAACGTGAGAGTGACCACCTACTTACGTTATTGTATTGTTGACAAAAAAATAATAATAGCCAAATATTTCTGTATATATATATATGTATATTTCTTTTTATTTATAATTTAATTATAATGTAGCCTTACAAAACATATCATTACATATAAAACAAAGTCACTGTCGCTGTCTGCCGTCCCTATGTATGCTTATATCTTTAACACAACGCAACGGATTTTGAAGCGGTTTTTTTAATAGATAGAGTTCAAGAGGATGGTTTATATGTGTAATACATGTACACCCGTACGAAGCCGGGGCGAGTAGCTAGTTTCATATAAATATATTATACATTTATATCAGTAGTCTAGTACCCATAATACAAGCTCTGCTTAGCTTGAGACTCGATGACGCTGTGTATATACATATAAGTATTTTAACATAAACAGGTTCAAAATTATATCTACACAGTTGTAAATTTCATGCAAAACAAAATATCAAACAAAAATGAACTCACTCTACATAAGCATTAAGTTTCTTTGCGTCCAGTTTGGAGTTAGGACAGATGGTGACGCAAGGGAAGGTTGTGTTCCATGCAAACATGTCCCGGTCCATGGACAAGACAGTCGGAGAGGACTGGTAGCGGGACCAGGTGGTACCAGACAGGTACATAGCGCCGAATACTGACAGACCCACCATGGTGAGCCAGAGGAGGCTGTGAAAGATAAAAAAGATTACTCATAAAATTCAAATTCAAAATCATTTATTAATATAGGATATTTTAGCCGCTTATGATCGTCAAATTTGTACATTATAATTTTAAATTTATCCCTACCGTCCAGTTCCGTACATAGATCCAATTGAGAAGACCTAGCAAGAAACTCAATTGAAGTACATTTTTTTTGAAAGCCAGTTTATTTACAATGTATATTTATATAGGTGTCTATGTCTAACATTAAATGAAAATTCAGTTCATGAACAACTATTGCCATTGCACGCTCGTCATTCAATTAATCGTTTATTGAGTAATAGGCTTAAATAGTGAGTCATAATCTTTGATTATATTTACAAGTAAATATAGTTTAAAGATAACAATGCAAAAATCACAAATCGCCAATTACTCCCAAACAGAACTTTTCTATTACATTTCTATTTACATTCTCTATTGGTCGATATTGCGTTACCACGGATATCACGTTATCATGTAACCATGATAACGTGATATCCGTTGTAAATATATACAGGTGACGGTTTTTTTTATGGATGATAATGGAGTGCACCCGCCTGCACTAACAGTTTACGCTGGCGGGGCACCAGTGGAGGATGATAAGATGAACATGAGGTCAGATCAGTTAACACATCGTGACAATTTCACCAGAAATTTATCACGATGGTTTCCAGGAGGGACCGCGTGGAGATCAACTTGACATGGTGCATTTTTAGTAATTTATTTATTTATTTATTTAATTGACCCATATTATAAATACCTTATAGACTAACATACATAAGAAATAATAATAAAATATGTAAAATAAAATTGTCTCTATGGTCACGGCACTGACGACGGCAATCTGCCACGGTAGCGCCGATAGACCACCCCCTTCGGCCAGTAGTCCTCCTTCATGAAGGTGGGCAGCATATTGGTGGGGACCAGGGCCACGAACGCTTTGAAGCTCGCGTTGTGGCTCGATTCCAACTGCGTCACCCTCAATGTCAGGTTGCTTTTAGTCCGGATGTAGTCAACAATGTCCTGTTCCTTTGTAGCGTAGTGTAGGCGGGATAGGATAGTAATGGGGTCATTAGTCCACATTACTAACAATTCCCTTCTCCTTTTAGATGACGATTTTTTTATGGATTATAATGGAATGGTGCACCCGCCTGCGCTAACGGTTTACGCTGGCGGGGCACCAGTGGAGGATTATAAGATGAACATGAGGTCAGATCAGTTAGCCCATCGTGACAAATTCACCAGGAATTTATCACGATGGTTTCCAGGGGGAACCGCGTGAAGGTCAACCTGACTTGGTACATTGCTAGCCTGGGGTTATCAGTCCACATTATTATAATCCCCTTCTCCCCTATAGATGACGGTTACCGTTTACCATCAGGTGGGCCAGCAGCTGTTTTTATATCAACTGTCTAGTACCCCATAACACAAGCTCTCTTTACCTTGGGACTAGATGGCGGCGTGTGAATCGTTCAGGGCTATTATTATCTTATATATAAAATTCTCGTGTCACAATGTTAGTTACCATACTCCTCCCAAACTGCTTGATCGATTTTTATGAAATTTTATACGCATATTCAGTAGGTCTGAGAATCAGCTATTATCTATTTTTCATACCCCTAAGTGGTAAGGGATACCCCTAAATACATTTCTTTTATTTTTTTGACATAATATTTTATTTTCATTTTTTTATTATGTAGGATTGAAAAATACACACAATCCTAGATTTTCACTCTTCTAGCATCAACCCCTATTTTTTAATAGCGATTTTAATTTATATGGCAAAACAACGTTTGCCGGGACAGCAAGTTATTTATATAAAAAACAGGAGTTCCTGAAAATAGAAACTTTGTTTCATAATATACTAGCTTCTCGCCCCGGCTCTGGGTGTACATGTATCATATATATAATCCTACCTCCTGAATAAATATACCTATTGCTAAAAACTGTATTAAAATCCGTTGTGTAGTTTAAAAGATCTGAGTAAACAAACAACGAAAGCGGCTTCAATTTTTATGTAAAGACTAGCTTTTGTCCGCGGCTTCGCTCGCATTAATTTATGCCCTTAGGGCGAAATTTATCAAAATACTTTCTTAGGGGTAGCCTACATTATAGTAGCTTTATGCATGCAAAGTCTCAGCTCGATCGGTTTAAAATTGACAAAGTTTCATACAAACTTTCATCGCCTATTTTATCCCCTTGGAGGTAGAATTAATCTAAATCCTTTCTTAGCGGATGCCTACGTCATAACATCTACCTGCATGCCAAATTTCAGCCCGATCCGTCCAGTGGTTTGGGCTGTGCGTTGATAGATCACTACGTCGGTCACCTTTGAGATAACTCAAACTCCACAGTGCGGTTCTAAATATATATAATATATTTAGATAGATAGATGACTTTTATGTAAAGATAGACAGATAAGACAATACTTACACTTCAAAAGGATGCCTCTTGGATGCGACCAGATGGTTCAGCCCATGAATAGAGGAGGTCTCCAAGAACAGAGTGAAGTAATCCTTCATTTTCGACTTGAATGCACCGGCCTGGTTGACTGCAACTGGCTCGGGATCAAATCTCTTAGCTCGTTGTGAATGTAGAAGCTCATCTTGAATGATCTGAGCTTGATATGTGCGCTCAGAAAACATCTTTCTAAAGCAATTCCCGAACCTACAGATGCAAAAAAGTCAGAAAATTAAACAAAAACTAAAAACCTGAATTCTAAATAATTCTGTCAAAAAACTGAATTGTCTAAATTAAAAAAACTGAACTGAACAACTGTGCAAGTTATCTCAAGCCTTAAATCATGATATCAGTAAATATTTTTCTTATAACTATATTTAATTGTGTTATTGCAATGCAAACTATTATTTATTTTATTTAATGAAAATTAAATTATTCAATGTACAGTTTGTTTGATCTACTCTTGATCAAGAGTTTCATCTATTTGGATATGTTTCAACTTGTACTTTTATAAATAAACTACCTTTTGCTCGCGGCTTCGCTCGCGTTAATTTATCCCCTTAGGGGTGGAATTTATCAAAATCCTTTCTTAGAGGATGCCTACGTCATAGTAGCTTTATGCATGCAAAGCCTCGAGTTGAGTCGAGTCGGTGTAAAATTGACAAAATTTCACACAAGCTTTCACCCCCTATTTTATCTCCTTGGGGGTAGAATTAATCAAAATCCTTTCGTAGCGGATGCCTATGTTATAACATCTACCTGCATGCCAAATTTCAGCCCGATCCGTGCAGTGGTTTGGGCTGTGCGTTGGTAGATCACTATGTCAGTCAGTCACCTTTGAGTTATATAAATATATAGATTACTTGTATTAATTTTTACAACAAACTGCCAGAGTCTGTACTTAATTTCCCAGAAAAATGAATGAAATGTTTTTAAAATATTTTCTTTGCAAAAATGCTTATTACAAAATTGAAGAATTTAGAAATGATATTATTTTTTCTGTAGAAAATATGTAACCTAAAATTCATAGCGTTGACAATGTTGAGCTGACAATGTCAGCCCAATCCGTCCAGTGTTTTGGGCTGTGCGTTGATAGATGACTATGTCTTACTACCTTTGATTTATATATATTTAGATTACTTATATTTAAACTAACCGTAAGTTGAATAATTAGTCTTTCTTTAAAGCATAGTTATGATACATAGCACTAAGAAGTATTCTAAGTTAAAAAGGAATTTCCGATTGCAATAGTATATTAAAAAAATGTAAACCTATATCGGGAATCAACACCATTGACCCAACTATGGGAAACAACTGTATCAACACATGAGCAACAACGATACAAATTGAAATAATCAAACTGCGTCCACACTTGTTTAAATATTACAGATTATGAAATATTACAAATGTCGAAATTATTTTTTAAAATAATTCTGCATACTAGCTCTTTGAACTATATGACCACTATTAAAGTTCAGTTTAAAACCTTAAGTTTTAGTATCTAAAAATGTATTGTGTGACCGGTTATTACAAATTTTTTTTAGACTACTCTAATGCTGTTGGCCGCAGCTGGCCTTTATAAATTCAAATTCAAAAATCATTTATTCATGTAGAACATTTTAGCCGCTTATGAACGTCAAGTTTTTACATTATATTTTTTTTCCCTACCGTCCAGTTTGGTATATAGATCCAATTATAATATAGCTTCACCAGAGGATAGGGGGCGAGTGCCGATGGCACTCCAAACCCGCGGAAGAACTTATGGAGCGGCTGAAGGCCAACTCCCGCCTGACGGATATGACTTTAGTCTGAGGGCACCGTTAGGTGTTCGAACCTCGGCTCAGGCCGTTGTAACATCGGTCCCCGTTTGAATTGGATGGAGGATCGATCCGAGGGGGACGGGAGATAGATCGGTGGGGTCTTTTCAACTGAAGTTGCCTGCCTAACTGGATCATAGTAATGAAAAATAATGGCTTACTATAATTACTTAAAAAATCTTCACTCGCTTGTCACATTTCCGATAAAACTGTAAGGACAGCATTAGTTAAAAAAAATGCAGACGCGAATCCAGCTATCCGAATTGAATTCAAATTGAGGAATTGTTCAGATTGATACCAGCTGCTGAGTTTCACCACCGTACCACCCGCCAGAAACTAAAATACCATCCTGATCATCTGGATGAATGGCGGTCCTCCACAGTGCGGTTTTTTAGAAACTTTTTGCCACGCACAACCACATTGTGGAATCACCTTCCAGCAATGGTATTTCCGAGCCGATACGATATTGAAACCTTCAAGAAAAGATCTTATTCCTTTTTAAAAGGCTGACAACGTACTTGAAATTCCCCTGGTGTTGCGTGGCGGTGCATGGGCGGCGGTAATCACTTACCATCAGGTGAGCTGCATGGTCGTTTGTCCCCTGTGTTTTAGATGTATAATTTGGGCTTGTATACACGTATCTGGACGTAGCTTTACATGTCATTTCGTGATACAGGTCTCTTATAATATTACAGTATTATCTATTATCTAATACAATTATACAATTATATCGTTGAGTTCGTGATGTTAATAGTTCAGATTTATTCATTAAAACATATTACTTTCAACAGCGTTGTGCTTTGATATTCGTAGATATTATCACGTTTAAAAAGTTTGTCACGTTATAGTACGACTAGCTCTGTCCGCGGTTTTGTTTGCGTGATAAAATTAGCTCGTAACAATATGACAGTTAAGTAATGGCCAATATTGGAGAAATAGTGTTTTTTAAACTTTCAGTTTTAATACAAATTTCTGGGGGGAAAGGGATTGTTAGTAATGTGGATTGATTACCCCGTTGCTAGCAATGTACCATGTCAGGTTGACCTCCACGCGGCGCCTGGAAACCATCGTGATAAATTCTTGGTGAATTTGTCACGATGGGCTAACTGACCTGACCTTATGTTCATCTTATCATCCTCCACTGGTGCCCCGCCAGCGGAAACCGTTAGCGCAGGCGGGTGCACCGTTCCATTATCATCCACAAAAAAAAAAATACAAATTTCTTATCATTTGATGAGTTTTATCAGGAATCGTTATAAATGTGAAAGTAGAGATGTTTGTTATGCTTTCACGCAAAAACTACTAAACCGATCCTCATGAAATGTTGTACACATGTTCTTGGAGGTAATTTAATGAACATACTACTCCATTTATGGTATGGGTTCCAGGGAGTAATTGCGAGAGTGTTTTAAGGAATCAATATCCTCACCGTTGCTTCTCAATACATTTATGAAAATATCATCTATGCCAGAAGGAATATAGACAGTTTCAAAAGAGTTAGTGATTGCACTAATAAAAGCTTACGTAACAATAACAAACTGATTTTACCTAAATGTCGTTTGGCTAAAGTTAGTAATTCGTTTTATGGCAATTGCGTAAGGTTTTACAATAAAATACCAGAGTCTGTTATAAATCTGCCAGAAAAAAGATTTAAATGTCAAATAAAACAGGTCCTTTGCAAAAAGCTTACTATAAAATTGAAGAATTCGTTAACGATAATAATGTTTTTATAGAAAATCTTTAAATCTATAGCACTGACAATATTATCTGATTACATTAATAATGAGTGCGTAGCGACTTCTATGTTGATTATCGCATGCCTCTTACTTGTTATACTGTAATTATTTAAATAAAAAAAAAACATCTATTAAAAAGAGCAACACACAAGTTTCTTGCTCATTCTTCTTGTGATGAGTCTGCATTCCGAATGAGTGGTAGAATCAAAATATGACTATTCAAAAGTGCTTGTAATGAGTTTATTTGAATAAAGATTATTTCTATTTCTATCAAAAAAAGAAACAATTTTTTTTTATTCAATTCGAGTGAATTGAATATTGAGTGAGCCGCGGGTAAAATTAAATTTATAAAAAACTAGCTGTCCCGGCAAACGTTGTTTTGCCTTAAAATAAAAAAAAAATTTAGGGGTGGACTACCCCTAATATTTAGGGGTATGAAAAATAGATGTTGACCGATTCTCAGACCTACTCAAGACAGTCACAAAATTTCATGAGAATCGGTCAAGCCGCTTCGGAGGAGTATGGGAACGAAAACTGTGACACGAGAATTTTATATATAAGATAATAAGATCATACAATTTAGAATTTTAGAGGTTGCTTTGAGCGATAAGACTTTTGTTAAATTTTTTGGACATTTTTATGCACAATAAAGAGTTTTATTATTATTTCTTGTTAGTACTTTAGTCTTTTTTCAATTCTCGAAATTATTCAGTTAATTTTTTTTTTATAACACAGGGGACAAACGAGCTTGTGGCTCACCTGATGATAAGTGATTACCGCCGCCCATGAGCACCCGCAACACCAGGGGAATTGCAAGTACGTTGTCGGCCTTTTAAAAAGGAATAAGCTCTTTTCTTGAAGGTTTCAATATCGTATCGGTTCGGAAATACCATTGCTGAAAGGTGATTCCACAATGTGGTTGTGCGTGGCAAAAAGTTTCTAGAAAACCGCACTGTGGAAGACCGCCATTCATCAAGATGATCAGGATGGTATTTCAGTTTCTGGCGGGTGGTACGGTGGTGAAACTCAGCAGCTCAACTCAGATCAGAGAGATCATATTGACCAAGTAATTCTATATGTCTTTAGTTAAGTGTTTCCTATATGTTCCTGTAAAAACTGCGCACGATTGTTATTATTATTGAGTGTCATTTTAACTAGATTACAATGTATTTGAGTGAGATTAGGTAAATTGATCACAGTTAACTTTAGTGTTAGAATATAAATTTAAAATAGTTTGTAAACAAACTATGAACCAAAATAAATAACGTTTTTGACGGGAGCCATCAAACTCTTTCACTTTCATCTCATCAAAATATTATTTAAGACCGCAATATTAAAATAAACTTGCGTGTCAAAGCAAAATAGATTTTATCGTACTCCAAATTGAATGTACATTTGAATAACAAAAATCTGTGAAGGATGCTAGAAAAATCGACTCCTGTCGTCACTCTGACGGTTCACCAACAAAATTTTTTGGGCAATTCATAGTTCAAACACGTGTAAGCAAACTTGAAGATTAATGATTTCTCTCTCACGCTGCGCTCTGACGTGTCTTTAGATCTTTAAAAATGTACTATTTTCAGATTATGAAAGACAACACTTTAAAAGCCGTTTGTGATAAACAGCTGACTG